TGCCTGGGACAAAAGATGAAGACCAGAATCACAATCAGGAGTGAAGAAATCATTTTCAAATACGGATAGTATACATATTCGAAATGAAGATGATCCTAAAGAGAAATTCCAGTAATTTGAGAAGACATTATGCTTGATATGTTTACTTTTCTGTCCAACATGTTTCCACATTGAAAAATCTTACCTGCGGCATAATATGGAGCTCTTGATAAACTACCGTACTGATTTATGAAAATGGAAATCTGCATCTAATGTATTTCCAAGGAGGTTTTTGACACATTACAGATCTTAACTAATTAGGTGAATTCCATTCAGTCCAATCACTCAGTGAGCGACTTGCAAGTAAATGCAACGCAATCCATCAGCTGCCAAGGAGGCTGCAGAGACGAACAACGCCTCTAACTACCTAGTTTGGTCAGTTCATTAGTTTCCATTCAGATTGGGGCAGCTGCATCTCCTTTCATAAGTATAGAGGGAAAGTAATCTTTGACATTATGTGACTAGCCTGCAACCAAGGAAATGCATTTTCCAGGAACACACTGAATTAAAAAAATAATAATAATAATAAAGGAGGGGAAGGCCCTTACTACTGTCTGTGACTGCAGACACTGTTGTGTGTTCATTTCCAGGTTCATCCTCACCCAGTTTACGTGCAACCACTCTTGTCCTGATTGCATAACCACAGCACATCAAGTTGTTTCTTGTTGCCAGTGTAAGTTGTAAAATCAAACTTCAGAACTGAGGGAGTCAAGCTAAATAATTGCCTACTTTAAAAATATGTATGTATATAATTTACGTGTCACTTCAGATAAGCTCTTGAATTATGATCTCTTAAAGTCACAACTGTCACCAATTTTAATATACAGTTTCAGGGTAGCAGTTCTCCCTGCATGCACACCTTCTCCCTGAGACCGTCTCTCCTCTTCTCAGTTTTCCAAGTATTTTACATTGATTTATTGCAATCTGCTTTTCATATTTTAATGAGAACCTAATTAATCACAACTTTTACTTCTCTCAAGCTCTGAGACTTCCATAATTCGAAAGAAGGAATCTAAGATAGCCCAAAATGCACTTGCTGGTGCCTCTCAGGGCTCCAGGTTCTACTGATAAGTTCCCGTGAAGTTGGTGACACCACACTTAGGATCCTCGGTGAATGATACCCTGCCCACTCCTGTTCCAAAGGTAGATGCCAAACATCTCCTTCTCCAACCTGGGATGTTTCATTCCCTGAAAGAAAACAGCTACTAGAAAGGGGCCAGGACTTCCCTGGAGGACCAGTGGATAAGAATCTGCCTGCCAATGCAGGGGACACGGGTTCGATCCCTGGTGCAGGAAGATTCCACATGGCATGGGGCACCTAAGCCTGTGAGTCACAAGTACTGAGCCTGCGAACTGCAACTACTGAACCCTCTCACCCTAGAACCTGTGCTCCCAACAAGAGAAGCCAACACAATGAGAAGCCCGTGTGCAATGAACAATAGGAAGAGTAGCCCCTACTTGTGGCAACCAGAAAAACTCCACTTGCAGCAGTGAAGACCCAGTGAAACCAAAAATAAAATTAATTAATTAAAAAAAAAGCAGCACGACTTTCCCTTTAAAAGGGGGTGGGGGGCACTAGGAGCCTGAGGTAAGCCACTCAGTAAGTGATGGTCAAGTCTTGCCTGGTCAAAAATCAACACAGCACTGAGGCACCATCAACCTGGAAACGGTACTCACAATGGGACACATCACCTTCCTACTGGGTAGAGTAGAGTCACAGAAAATAGTACCAATTAATGAAAAAGCTTTTGATTTATATCCTGTGATTCTTCAAAAAGCTCAAACCACTTCAGACAGTAGCCTATTAATTCCCAGAAATCCATGTATGTGTGCATACTAAGTCGCTTCAGTCCTGTCCGTCCGCCAGGCTCCTCTGTCCAGGGGATTCTCCAGGCAAGAATACTGGAGTGGGTTGTCATGCTCTCCTCCAGAAGATCTTCCTGACCCAGGGATCGAACCCGCGTCTCATTATGTTTCCTACACTGGCAGGCAGGTTCTTTACCAGTAGGGCACCTGGGAAACCCCCCAGAAACCCATTCTAAATGATAAAGTGGGATCAGGGGTGAAAGGACAAAGGGTAAATTACTAGCTAAGAACACCAAATGATTAGCTCCCTTGACCAGTGAAACTGAGTCAGCTGAAGAGGGAACCTAGAATCTTAAAGTCCTTCTCAGATGAAATGTTAACATTGGATATCAGACCACCCTACCAACCAGGGCCAACTTTTCTTAGGAAAAATGTCCTAAGGAGATAAACTTGACAACAGAAGCACCCCACTCCTTCTTGAAGCCCTCTGTTCATCCAAGTGCTGAGTTTGCTTGTCTTCAATGCTTTTCCGAACAGCCATCCTGAGCTGTTGTCAGAACTCAGTCTGCCCAGCAGGAAACACTAGGGGTGGATTTCCACACTGCATTTCTGATCTACGAAGTGCTAGTCCCAGCACTGGCTTAATGTAGAGACAAATACACTCAGCTGTCCCATCACCAGCATTTCCTACTTTGCAGGCAGCAAAAGAAAAATAACCAAGTCTAAATTAATTTCCACATCTGATCAATTGCATTTCCAAACAGCCAATACAGAACATGTTCCATTGATCCTACAATCCAGCTCTAGAAGTATAAAAAGGGGAGAAACCCCCCAACTTGAGCACCTTGGACTTAAAGACCCTTAAGAAACATTACCTTCTCGCCCCTAATAAATCTATAGTGTCTAGGGCTACACCACCCTGAATGCGCCCAATCTTGTCTGATCTTGGAAGCTAAACAGGGTTGGGCCTGGTTAGTACTTGGATGGAAGAAAGCTAGAGCACCCCAGAAAAAACTCTACCCATAAATTTTTTTTTTTTCCTATCCTGGTACATCCCAATTCTACCGACAGAAAGATTATTCTCATTAGATAGAAGGTGAGCCCAGCCCATGAAGTAAGGAAGTGTTCATAATATCTGTCTGTGTAATGAACGTGTCACTTCCCCTAACAGCCCAACTGTTTCCTTAAAATTAAAAAAAAAACAAAGTACTACATGGAATCTCTGGTGTGTCTGTCCCCCTCCCAAAGTCTGAGTCAGAGCATGTGGGTCTTTCCTGAAGTTCTGGGTGACCAAGCTGGCTCCCTTTCAGACTTGCTCTGATAGCTGAACTTAAGGCTGTCTTCCAGCCACAACACAAGCAACTATCTATTTTAAAACAATTTTCCTAACCCACACGCGACGGGAGCTACCTTATACACAGATCGCCAACGTCCTACTGGAAACCGAACACTTCTATCTCCAACGGGGCCTGTCATCTCCCAGGATTAATGCGTGTTTATGTGGATATATTTTTACCTTTGACCGTGCAACTCTTGGAACGGAGAAAAGCCACCCCAATTTTTATTATCGTCCCTGAGCCAATCCAGAGCCTTAGAAAGAGAGATGAATGGGAGATGAGAGGGCTTCTCTCGCACAAACAGTAAGCGAGGGGAGAAAAAAAAAAAATCCCTCGGAGGAGGTGGGGGGCAGGGTGGAAGGCAGGAGAAGGACACCCAGTAGCCGACCAGAGGCAGCTGCAGGCGGCCGCACTTCGCGAACTGCCCGCAGAGGGGAGTGAAATCTTCCCCCCGTGCAATAACGGAGCGCCCCACTCCCCGGCTGCCTCGCCTGGGCACGAATAATAAATACATCGAGGTGGACAAACCGCTGCACCGAGACAAGTCAGACCTCCTCCCCGAAAGGTCAAAACTTCAGAAATTCGGGGGATCACAGCACCCACACAAACACATAGATCCGTCGGTGCGGAGAGACTCGGAGATTGAGCAAAGGTTCTGCATTTTGGTTTTTGCTTTCACGCTCTGGCTTGCAAAAGTACGGCGGCTACGGGCAAAGCTCGAGACGAGGAGGAAAGGCTGAGGGCGGCGGTGGTGGGGTGGGGGGGGGGTGCGGGTGGGAAAGGAGGGGTGTCGAACCCCAACCACCCAGGCCTCAATGTGACGAAAGTCGTCAGCAGCCCCAACCGCATCCCAGCTCCTGCGTCCCGGCCAGCAGACGCCCCCAGCGGCTCCCCCACCCCAGCTTCCGTCCCCGCCAGCCCCGCAGCAGCAGCAGCCCCGGCTCGGGCAGCGAGCCGGCAGCGCCACGACCGCGGCTCCATCCCCGCCGCGCGGCAGGCACCCGCAGGCCTGCCTCCCAGCCCACCCGGGCGCGCCCCGGAGCGGAGCCCAGCCGAGCCGCGCCGCCAACTCCCCCCTCCCCCGGGCCGGTGGGGGGCTCCCGCTTACCTCGGGCGCTCGCGGGGGGGCTGAAGGTGGCAAGCCTCCCGCCCCCCGCCCCGGTCCTCCTCGCGGGTTTTCTTCCTCCCTCCTCCTTGTCGTCCTCCTACTCCCCACGGTGAGTCCCGGTCTCCCCCTCCTCCCAGAGGCCGGGGGTAAGAGCCCCGAAGCCCCCGAAGCCCCCGAAGCCCGGCCCGGGTGCGTGCGTGCTGGAGGCGGCGGCGCGCGGCCAGCTCTCTCCAGTAACTGAGCGCGGCGCGCGGCTCCCAACTAAAGTGTGAAAGAAGCGGCGGCCGCGGCACGGAACGTCCCCCCCGGGAGTGGGCAGGGAGCGAGCCTGGGCTGGCGGCGAGCGAGCGAGGGAGGGGACCGGGAAGGAGGGAGGAGGCTGGAGGGAGGGGACCTCCTCGCCCAGTCACTCACTCGAGGGGCGGGGGCAGCCAGACACTCCCCCAGAGCCGGCCCCTCCCCGCGCCCGGCTCCCGCGCGCGTCCGGCCCCCCGCCTCGCCCCCGGGAGGGGCCTGCGGGGGCCGCGCTCCCCAGAGGAAGGGACCCGGCTTGCGCGACCGCCAGGGCTGCAGAGAGGAATAGAGGGCGTGGACGGGCGTGTGTGTGTGTGTGTGTGTGTGTGTGCGTGCGTTCGTGCGCGCGCGCGCACCCCGCGGCTGGAGGGGAGACCCCGGCGGGAAAGCTGCGTCGTGGGCCTGACACCCGGGCGATGGCCGGGGAGGAGCCGCTGGACCGCGCGGAGACCCGAACGGCCCAGCTCTGCTGGAGACCCAAGCCAGTCTTCGGGTCCAGCCTCGGGACTGCGCCTGCTAGAAGCAGAGGAAGGCGAGGCCCGGCATCTGCGCCGCGCAGCCCCTCCCTTCGCTGGACCGGTGGGCGCTGCCCAGCTTCCCCGGCCCGGCGCGGCCACCAACCCGCCTCCACCCTGCCCGGGAGCCGCGGCGCCTGCAAGATGAATGAAGCGTCGGCCACTGGGCAGAAGCTGCCCTGGGGAGGGAAGGAGACACCGCCTGAGACTTCGTGCCCGGCGCCCCCTCTTTGCCCCTCCCGGCCTCTTGGGACTAAAGGGCGGAGGCCGCGCCTCTTGGCGCGTTTGGGATGATTGGGGAATCGACAAAGATCGCCGCCCACCTCTTTACCTGCTGGGGTTTTTTTGTGGACACCCACATGAGGTCAGCCAATTTCTCACCCTCTGGGAAAAGGTAGTTTTCACCTTTTCCTGGTCATATTGGGTGTTTCGTGTGCGCACTGAATCGATCTTTCAACATTGATAGCGGTCTTTTGTGTGGCTTCCCCGCGCTTCGCTGCTCTTGCATTGCCCTAGACGCGTGAGGAATGCCAGGCCTCCGGAGTGAGGACACCCAAGAAAACAAAAGGGGCAAAAAGATCCTCCCTGGGCCCCGTGGATTACACACACACACAACGGAATCATTTCTCTGTTTGGGCCGAGATGAAGTTGAAAAACGGAAAAGGACACATCAGAGCTGTGACAGTGATGAGACACCTAACTGAAAAGCAAATTCATAATTTAATGACATGAGTTAATAACCCACCCATAATAGCTAGGAAGTCAAGTCTTTTGGGGAAGGAAAAAAAAAAGATTTCCCAGTGTTCTCACTTTTCCAATTTAAAAGGCTGGTATCATATTGTTTTTGAAACCCCTTTGTATTCCATTTTTTAAACTATCTGTATTTTCTCTTTGGAACCAGAACTCTTTCTAGTCTAGCCTCCTAAAGAGGAGTAGTTTAGAAGGGGTGGTAGGCTAACTAGGATTCCAAGGAAGCACTGCCAGTCATCATCTGTTCCCTTAAATGACTTGTTTCATTTCTTTCAGCCTTCCTTCCCTCATCTGTAAAATGGGATTGATGATAGGAGTTTCTATCTCATAGCCATGTTGTCAAAATAAAAGAAAAATAAAATGAGGTGGCAGTGTACATAAAAAACTTAGTGTGATGCCTGACACATGGTATGAGCTGTTCTTTCAAATGTATAGTTATATCTCAAATTTGGTAGGCATTTTTTTTTTTCCTCTTTGCATTCCTTCTTAAAGTTGGGAGTGCAAATCCATCTGCTGGTTTTATCCAAATGCAGTCAACCTTCTCTGGGATTTTTAGGTCATTCCTGAAAGCTTCATCCCATGGACAGAGGAGCCTGGTAGGTTATGGTAAGATGAAAGAAGTATATAACTAAGATGTGCATGAGTCTATTTACATAGAATTCTGTATAAAAGGATCCTTGAGGATAACAAGATTTTGTTTTCCCCTACTTCTCTCCTTCTCTCACTAAGCTACCCTGAATAGACCAGGCTCTATAAATGTTGGCCTGTGTGGTCATCTATCCTTTCACGGGTCAGAACAGTGACTGGCAATGCAGACTTCTTGAGAGCAAAGCAATGAGGGTCTCCTCTGAACTGATAGCCTCAGAAGTAACAGAAGGTCACAGAGCAAGCACTTCAGACATGTATGAGTTTTAAAACTCCATACTATGAACTTTTAAAGCAAGTTTTTAATTATTCAAAATAAATACATATTCCTTGTAGAAACTCAGCCAAGTATGAAGGAAATAAAAATCACCATAATCCTGCCCTCCAGAGAGAAGAACTCAGTAAGTGCTTCTAGTATACCCATTTACCCTTCATTTATTTCATGATTATTCAATCAGCAAATGTTTGTTAAGAACCTAGTATAGTGGCTGGACAACTTCCCAGGGCTGAGAATACGTTATGTGTTGTTAGTGGTATTTGTTTCTCTCTAGAAACTACTCCTGAGAGGCAACGCTTTATATGGTAGTAAAGTTCTCAGGATAGTCTACCAAAACTCTGTGAAAAGAATCCTATAATGAAACTACAGTGCTGGCCAGAAACAATCCAGGTTTCGTAGGGCTTGAATCACTTACAATTTGGGGAGCCACCTTCCAGATAAGGAAGATAAAAGTGCAAAAGCCCCTGGGAAGGGCTCTTATGAATAAGGTGTCATGGGAAGTAAGCCCCTTTTGCCTTTTAGCAAACCCTAGGGCTTCCTAGGTGGCACAGTGGTATAAAGTAAAGAATCTCCCTGCTACTGTAGGAGACACAGGAGATGCAGTTTCCATCCCTGGGTTGGGAAGATCCTCTGGAGGAGGAAATGGCAAGTCACTCCAGTATTTTTGCCTGGGAAATCCCATGGTGGGCCACAGTCCACGGGGTCACAAAAGAGTCAGCCGCGATTGAGCATGCACTCACGCAGTAAACCCTCTTTGGCACTGGAATTTCTGTAGAAATTAACTGCTTTGATAAACATTGGTTTTGGGGTTTTCTTTTCTTTGCCATACCACACAACTTATGAGATCTTAGTTCCCCAACCAGGAATTGAATCCATGCCCTTGGCAGTGAAAGTGCAGAGTCCTAACTACTGGACTGCCAGGAAATTCCCGATAACGTTGTTTTAATGTGAATATTCATATCTCATTTACTTGGGATTCCTGGGGTACCTCTCCTTCTCCCCCCAAATTCGGATGAGATGGGAATGGAGATGCCCATCACTACCACAATCGCCATGTACACACACTTACTTAACATAGCCACATCTGGGACCATGGGGTCGTGGGTAAGGGCTGCAGAAGACAGATTAGGTAGGGTCCAATGAGAGGGGAGGGGCAGACAGGATGGGGCACTGAGGTGCTAGCGGGGCTCCTTGGGTATAATAGCACACAGCAAACCACATAGCACGAGTTGCCTGCACATCTGTTTGGTCAGCACAAGCTAAATCTACTACATTTAAAAACAGAATAATAGGTCTTGCTATTGCATGCTTAGTTACATTCGACTCTTTTGTGACCCCATGAACTGTAGCCCACCTGGCTCTTTTGTACATGGAATTTCCCAGGCAAAAATACTGGAATGGATTGCCATTTCCTTCTCCAGGGAATCTTCCTGACCCAGGGATTGAACTGGCACCTCCTGCAATGGCAGGCAGATTCTTTACCACCGAGCCACCTAGGAAGCCTCCTTGCTATTAAGATGACTATTAACTATTAAGATGACTTATAAGCATACTTTTTGAAAATGAAGAACATGAATCACACCCCCATCACAACTAATAAAACCATCCTGTCTTTGCCAGTCCACCACCAGAATCTCTGAGTGCTCTGTACCTTCAAACACTCTTAAGTATAGTTTTTTTTAAAAAAGGATATCTTTATTACCCAGAATAGTTATGGTTTAACCTTCAAAGTCACTTCTGTGAAAATTGATTTTTTTATTCCTAAAGCCTTAACTTATAAAGTTTGGCTCTATAGAACCATTTATAACATGTTTGAATTTTTTGTTTCTTACATTTCTTTTGAGTAGATGTTGTATATTGAGTGTGTTTGTATCCGCAAATTCATATGTTGAAGGCTTAATCCCTAATGCTGATGGTATTAGGAGGAGGTAGGCCTTTGAGAGATGAGGTCATGAGTTGGGGTGGGGGGGAGGTGGAGTCCTCATGATGAGATTAGTGCCCTTATAAGAGAGACCAGAGAGTTCTCCTCTAGTCCATCTCTCCCTACCTAGGACACAAGGTGGCCATGAAAAGGGCCCTTCCCAAGAACTTGACCATACTGGCACTTTGATCTCAGACTTCCAGACTCCAGAAGAGTGAGAAATAAATATATACTGAGAAATGGAGTATTTCCTGCCACGTCAGTAAACAGTCAGTCATCAGTGATTCCTGCCCTCTGGGGCACTCAGGAAGGAGAAGAATACCTGCTGGTCTGGTAGCCATTAGGATGCAGCCACTCCCTATGGTGAGCACTGAGGAACTCAGGATGTAAACCAACATAGGATAGTGGCGTCAAGATAGCTGAGATGCACACGAAAGGGAAGCGTTCAGTGACCCCAGACACTTGCATCTTCCCATATATAGACAAGTGTTAAATTCCTTAACTTGGGACTTCGGGTTTTCTTTAATTCACAAAAAATACATTTGATGTTGAGACTACCTGCTCTTTGTTCCAAACTTCTATATAACCTGACTGCTTCCCCCTCCCTCCCTCCCTCTCCTCGGGGCAGTTCTCTCAGGGCTACTTGAGATGCTACCTCCCAGGCTTAAGTCCTAAAAATTTCCACCAAATAAAACATAACTCTCAACTTTTAGGTTGTGACTATTTTTCGAGTCAACTATATATATATATATAGGTTTAAGTTACCCAGCCTGTGGTATTTTGTTATAGCAGCCCAGACCCACTTTCTCTTTACCATTGACTGTAAAAAAAGAAACCAATGGAAGTGCAGATTGATTGAACACAAGATAGTAAAAACTGTACACTGCTGCTGCTGCTAAGTCACTTTAGTCATGTCCGACTCTGTGTGACCCCATAGACGGCAGCCCACCATGCTGCCACCTATAATTTCTCATATGAACCAAAATGAATTCATTTTATGTGATTTACTTTTAAAAAGCTTCCAATCAGGTTAATTTTTCCAGATAATCCAGTCAAAATTAGCCTTGGCAGGATTATTCAGAAACCAGTGATCCTAAAATGAGTCCTACTCTGAAGAATGCTTTCTTTGTTATTTGCTCCATGGAAGAACAGCTAACACGGATTGTCTCCTGTATGGTAAGCACAGCATTATGTCACTCATAAGGTACGTGAGCTCCCTCACTTCATCTTCCCAGCAATGCAATCAGATAGATACTATCACCATTCCGATGCAGATGTGGAAATGGAAACACAGAGGGGTGAAATAATTAGTACAAGGCCAAGATCAGTTCTCACTAGTCACATGTCAGAGCCTACATTCTTAACTGTTGGAAGTATATTTTCTCTTCAACGTTCCTACCTCAGTCTAACTCTTACAGTGAAGCTTTTCTGAGCAACCCCAGCCTCTGAGTTTCTCAATTTTTGGAGAATCCATAGTTTCCCTCACTTGCTGAAATTTTACAGCCTTGCACTATTGGGGGTCCTTCCATGTATTTATGGTGCCATCAAGATCAGTAGCTCTTGGTCTGAGACTAGACAATTGTGTGCATGTGTGTGTTTAAGTCTTATCTGGGGTACCACAATGCATAAACGAGTAACACACCCAATAAGCACTTGTGGATTGAGTGTTGTTTTTATTATTTGTTCATAGTGGTTAATATT